GTTCCACAGGGCGGGTGCCACTGCCGAAAAGGCCCTCTGCCTGGTTCCCTGTAGCTTTGCTTCTCGCAATGAGGGAACCGCCAGAAGGCCCTCGGCGCTGGACCTCAGCGTCCGGGCAGAACGATGGGGGTGGAGACGCTGTCCTTCCAGTGAGCACTCAGGGCTGATTTCCTTCAGAATGGATAGGCTTGATCTTCTTGCAGTCCATGGGACTCTCAAGAGTCTCCTCTAGCACCATAATTCAAAAGCATCAATTCTTCGGCGATCAGCCTTCTTGATGGTCCAGCTGCCACATGGGTGGCACAGAACCTCATAAATTGCTGGGTCCTCCTCCTGGATCCTCCGTTAGCACATATCTTAAGATTTCTACCTGCCCCTGACACTCAGGCTGGTAAGCTGTAAGAAGCTGAATGGGCAACAGCCACCACAATGTCTCAGGGTGCTTGTCATTTTACCCAAAGCTTCTTTTCTCTAACCTTAACCAAAAGGGCCATTAATAAAAATGCCCTAACCCAACATGACCCCACCAGATATTGCTGAGCCACAACTTTCACCATGCCATGGACTGTGCCGCTTGGAGGTAATAATGGGAATTGGGACTCTGGAAGAATGGCAGATGAAGTTGATGGACTATATGGAACTGGCAGAAATGACTGCCAGAATCCGAGACCAGGGAGAAGAGTCGGTGGAAGAAGATTGGAAGAAGTTCAAAGATTATCTACAGAAATATTGTAAAATTAATGAATGTTAGAACGATGTTGGATAGAAATTAAGTGGTTTCCAGCTGTAATGCTTTAAGGGAATATGAAAAATGGGTTGTTAAGAGGTAAAAATCTAACGTTACTATTTTAAGACCAAAGATTAGGACAAATAAAGAGGGTAAGGATTTGCTGAACCAACAAACTGAACTGGAATACAAAAAAAGGGAGGTATGAGGAGGTCCGGGAAACAAGCTAAGGAAAAATAAGCAATGGAAAAATTGAGTGGTTTTGAATCATTTTTATTTTGTATTTTTTTTCTTTTTCATTTTTTATTGTAATATTTAAAAAAATCTTAATAAATATCTTATAAAAATAATAATAATGGGAATTGGGAGTCCAAACTGTCAAAACTGAGCACCCATCCAGCAGCACAGAGTTCTTTCCTTCGGCAATCGAAGGAAGGCAGCCAAAAAAATTCTACACCGGGCGATCAATTAATCCCGTACCGCCTGAAGGCCAGACAGATGAGGTAGTCCTGCTGGTTCTACCTCTAGCTGAGGCCAGGAAGAGGTGTGGCCACCTTAAGCAGACATACCTCTGGTGCCTCCCGATTGGCCAACTGGCAAGAAGCCATTGCCAGCTTAGCCCCACTTTGTTGCTGCACGCTCCGCTCTGACAAAAGGGGGGAGGCAAAGTTGCAGCTCCATGCAAGGGCTGGGGAACATTGATTTCCTTCATATCTGCTCCACTGTGTAGCCGAAGGCAGAGGAGGTTTAGGATCAGAGTTTTTCTTCTCTGTGCACTACCTTCCCAGATTGATGAGCCTCATCTGCCCGGTGCAGTAACCAGCTTCTTGACCATCAGACCCGCTATTGGTCTCATCCGTTCCATCCGCCAGAGCTTGTCTTTGCACGCAGAATAAGTCCCCAGCCCACTGAGGGTTTGAGACCCATCGGCTACCCTCACCTGGATTAGCCAGCCAGTTGAAACTGTTCCCAGGGTGTGGCCGCTGTTGCATGCTGACAGCTTCTAGGAGTCACAGGCGATTGCTGAGAGCAGGGTGGAGACGAAAGGTGGACAAACTACCCCAGAAGAAGCATGATGTGCTCCCTTGCCAGAGGTACCACCCCTCCTTTAACACCCCAAACAGCATACAATCTAAAAAAAGTGACACGGAGGAAACAGCATAGGAAGCGGAAAGAGGAGTAAACAGAGGAAGAACACGTCCTTGTTTCCCATGCTATGGGCTTAAGCCAGCCTTTGCCATCCAGGCTGGCTGGGGCTGATGGGAATTGTAGCAGCCAGGGCTGATGGGAATGGTAGCACCAGGGGCTGATGGGAATTGTAGCAGCCAGGGCTGATGGGAATGGTAGCACCAGGGGCTGATGGGAATTGTAGCAGCCAGGGCTGATGGGAATGATAGCACCAGGGGCTGATGGGAATGGTAGCACCAGGGGCTGATGGGAATTGTAACACTAGGTTGTTGAAGACTGTGCTGTCTGTTTATCCAGTCATTTTTGTTCTCCATCAATCCTTCTGGGCCAAGGGCTTCATGAAAAACATGGGCCTTGAGGAGGGATTTGGAGTAAGTGAGAAAGGTGAGATCATGCAATTAGTGTATTGAAATGCTGCATATTTTGAGGGACGGTAGGGTTGTCCCACATCTACACTGTAAACAAAAGAACAGTTTAACAAAGGGAAATTGTAATAATAATGTTAAGGGGTGGGTGTGTTTTAATCACTGTCAAGTATCATTGGAAACTAGAAAGATAAAACACTGGGCGAGGCAGGTGTAAGAAAAAGGTAAAATAGCCCTCTCAAGTAGTAGGTCAGTGACAGGTGAGCCCACCTGCTTAAATGAATAATTATTACACATTGATTAGAAAGGGTACTCAGGGTGAACGTAAACACTATCGCTAAAAGGAAGGGGGAAAAAAGAAATACTACTGCTGCCATCTGCTGTGAGTGAAACAAATCAAGCTACTTCTCTTTTGTGAAATTCAGGAAATGATAGCACATTGGTAGTTGTAGGGCACACACACTTCATAAAGGGACAATGGGGAGGGTTTGATGTCTTATTTTAACAGATCAATAATAAAAGCTCCAGTAACTCTCCAAAGACTTTATTGTGCAAATGCACAGCACTCAGGAAGCTAATCATCCCCTTGTCAATTAGCCCCATTGAAGCTAATCACCCTTTTTGTAGAAATCCCATTTCAAATGAATAGGCGCTGCAAAAGTGGCACAAAGAGTCTCTCCACCTCACCCAAATAATGTTTATCCTCTGCCCCCCTCTTAAGGCTTGAAGCGGGGGGGGGGGGGGAAGCTTTGACAAGCACACCCACAACAGGTGAAACTGCCTCTTTCAGGGAAGAAGGCAAGAGCAGACACAGGCAGCAGCCTCATGCTTCATGGCCAATACGAATAGGACACACTTGTTTCTTTATTTTTTAAGCTTTATATACTGCTGGATTGCAAAAAAGCTCAAAGCAGTTCACAAAAGGGAAAACAGGAAAATTAATAATAATAATAATATAATTATTTATTATTTATACCCCGCCCATCTGGCTGAGTTTTCCCAGCCACTCTGGGCGGCTCCCAATCGAGTGTTAAAAACAATACAGCATTAAATATTAAAAACTTCCCTAAACAGGGCTGCCTTCAGATGTCTTTTAAAGATAGGATAGCTGCTTATTTCCTTCACATCTGAAGGGAGGGTGTTCCACAGGGTAGGCGCCACTACCAAGAAGGCCCTCTGTCTGGTTCCCTGTAACCCCACTTCTCGCAATGAGGGAACCGCCAGAAGGCCCTCAGTGCTGGACCTCAGTGTCCCGGCAGAACGATGGGGGTGGAGACGTTCCTTCAGGTATACTGGACCAAGGCCGTTTAGGGCTTTAAAGGTCAGCACCAACACTTTGAATTGTGCTCAGAAACGTACTGGGAGCCAATGCAGATCTCTCAGGAGATCTGCATTGGCTGTTATGTGCTCCCGGCGGCCGCTCCCAGTCACCAGTCTAGTTGCCGCATTCTGGATTAATTGCAGTTTCTGGGTCACCTTCAAAGGTAGCCCCACGTAGAGCGCATTGCAGTAGTCCAAGTGGGAGATAACTAGAGCATGTACCACTCTGGTGAGACAGTCTGTGGGCAGGTAGGGTCTTAGTCTGCGTGCCAGGTGGAGCTGGTAGACAGCTGCCCTGGACACAGAATTAAGAAAATGGCAACCCTATACAAAATATACTAAACTACCTCAACTTTCTAAAACACCTGGGTTGGCTAGTCTAAACCTGTTTTTAGCAGGTTCCAAAGAGAATACAATGAATCAATGAAGGTGATTGACTACATGGAATTGGCGGAAATGACTGGCAGAATCCGAGACCAGGAGACAGTTAGTCATGTGGCACTTAGAAGACTGCAAGAAATCTCTAATCAGAGCTATTTAGCAGGAATATTGTAGAATTAAGGCAATCTTAGAAGGTTGTTGGATTGAAACTAAGTGATTTCAGCTGTAGATGCTTTACAGATACTAAAAAGGTTTCAAAAGTGGAAAAGAATAATGCACAGGTTTGCAGAACTACACAATACATGAATCTGGAATACAAAAAAGAGACAATAAGCGAAGAGATCCAAGGAAATACAGTGTAAGAAACAATACGGCTTTTCATCACGATTTTTAAATTTACTTATTTTCTAGACCTCCTCATACTTCCTCTTTTGTATTCCAGCTCAATTTGTTTGTCAGCAATTTCTTTACTCTTTTTAATCCTAATCCTTAATCTTAATATAATATAACATTAAATTTTTACCTCTTAAAAGCCAAATTTCCATTTCCTTTATCTTTTGAATCCTAATCCTTAATCTTGATCTATATATAACTTTAAAACCTGTATAGCTAGAAGCCACTTATTTTCAATCCAACATCACTCTAACAGTCTATTAATTTTGCAATGTTATCGTGCCAATAGTCTTTCAATCAAAGCTGTCCAGTAGGCACACGTGGGGCTAGGCAATCTTGGAGGTAAACTAGTCCAAAATTGTTAAGGGCTTTATATGCTAATAGTATCTCTTTGAACTTGGCCAGGTAGTAAATCAGCAGCCAGTGCAGATTTCTGAGCACAGGTGTCATATGCAGACAAGGTCTCAGTCCTATCAGCAATTCTGCTGCAGCATTCTGCCCTAACTGCAGGTCAAGGGGCGAGAGGAGCCCCACATAGACCAGCACTCCACCAGTCATTAATATAGGTCTTAGGTTTATGAGATCTGATGCATCTGCTGGGATTTCTTGTTCTATTCTGGGTAGTGGTGAGGAAAGAGGGGGAAACTCGCAGGGAAGGCCATCGATGGCAATATCCCAAAGTTAAGCCACAATTTCCTCATGTGAAATAATGGAAACAACATAAGAAGATATCTAGATATTTCACCACATCATTGGGATATGTAAAGCAAACAAAGAACAGTAACAATTCACACCCTGATAGAATGCATTCATGGGTGCTGAAATTTTTATTTTTAAAACATAGACTCAAAGTCCTGTATTAAATATACATGCTATTTAGACTTGCAAGTAATATACTAGCTAGAATAAGCTTTTACACTGCGTACCAGAAGGAAAAGAATTGAAACTCCTGAGGTTTCCAGGAGATGGAAATGAAATAAGGAAAATTGATTCAGTCCTTCCAGGAACAGGCTGTTCTGCTACAGGAACGTTCAGAGATTGATGATTTCAGACTGTTCTGTGGCAGCTTAGAGCCGACCTGCCCATCAGCTAAAAGCCACAAATTTTAGGCAAACCAAACCAAAAACCAGCAATATGATGGAAAGGAATCTGAGCATATCTACACAGCAAACTCATATCTGTTTTGTATTACTTTTACTGTCATGGCTCTCTTCCTGAAGGAATTCTGGGGATTTTAGTTTGGTGCAGAGAATTCTCTGCTAAAGGTCCCTGGCGCCATCTCAAAGAAGTGCATTTTCCAGGTAAAAGAGACTTGCTGTAGAATCAGTTTATGTATGCAACATAGAAATATATATGCTTAAAATTGGCAAAATTGTGGATAAAGCTGTAGCTACAAGACACCCTCCTTTGTTCCAGCCATACCAGATATAATGCAAGGTAGCCAGGCAATTAGGAACGCGGGTGGCGCTGTGGGTTAAACCACAGAGCCTAGGACTTGCTGATCAGAAGGTCGGCGGTTTGAATCCCTGCAACAGGGTGAGCTCCCGTTGCTCGGTCCCTGCTCCTGCCAACCTAGCAGCTCGAAAGCACGTCAAAGTGCAATTAGATAAATAGGTACCACTCCAGCAGGAAGGTAAACGGCATTTCCGTGCATTGCTCTGGTTCGCCAGAAGCGTCTTAGTCATGCTGGCCACATGACCCGGAAGCTGTACGCCGGCTCCCTCGGCCAATAAAGCGAGATGAGCGCTGCAATCCCAGAGTCGGTCATGACTGGACCTAATGGTCAGGGGTCCCTTTACCCTTTACCTTTACTAGCCAGGCAATTGCTGGGTATAAATAACTACAACACTCATCCAGATGAACAGTCTTTTGGTCTATGGTGCCTTTACAACCCTTTACCCTCCAAACTGCATCAAGTGTTAAGTAACTGGGGAAAGGACCATAGCAAGTTTATTAGATCGCTCCTAACAGGCTCTTCCAAATGCAGCTGATGACCCAGTCCCCAGTGTCAAGTGCAGCTCTTGACAATGTTTCTGAAACACATCCAAGTAATTTCAGTGCAGTTTGATCCTTTACGCCAAAGTCATGAGGTCAGCCAGATAAGCCCATCTGTCTTCAATTTGCCATGCCTACCTCATGCGTACGGTGAAATCATACATTGCCAGTGCTGTTATCCATCAGTGAGGGGTAACCTACAAGCCTGCTGTTTAAAGAACACAGGTTAAAGGACTGTTATCAATTTTAACCTCAGAGTTCACTGCAAACAGTCATTGAGTTTCTCAGATATAGCAAATTAAAGGTCAAGGAACTCACGTTTAGGCACAGAGGATTTCCTTTCACTTGCACTTCATCCTTGGCTGACATATGTAATGACTTTGAGATATCCTTCTTGTTCTTGACCCAGAGCTCCCCTACTAATCTTGTCAAGCCAGCATCTGTATGTAATATATGGCAGCTTCCACTCAGCAAACCCCAAGACACATTGAGTTGTCAGCACGTGTATTATGGGTTTAGCTGCTTCTTGATGATCATCAGTCCATTGATCTTTCAGTTCTGGACAACTCCAAGGCCATGGTATCCTTCCTTCCCTTCTTATACTGTTCCTATCAAAAGTAACTTCAAAGGTTTATTACTAAGATAGTTCAGAGGCTCCCAAACTGTGGCCTGTGGACCACCAATGGTCCACAAGCTTCATTCAGGTGGTCTGCAGAGTGTCTGTGGATATGTGGTTGAAGATGGGAAAGGGAACATCCATCTCATTACATCAGGCATAGGCAGACTCTGGCCCTCCAGATGTTTGGGACTACAATTCCCATCATCCTTAGCTAACAGGACCAGTGGTCAGGGATGATGGGAATTGTAGTCCCAAACATCTGGAGGGCCGGAGCTTGCCTATTCCCGCATTACATAGACATATTGGTTTTAACTGAATTTTACTTTATTGCATTACAAGTTGAATTATATGGAATACAATCAAATACAGTACAGTGGTACATTGGTTTGAGAACAGCTTATTTTATGAACACCTTGGAATAAGAACACTGCAAACCCGGAAGCAGGTGTTTCGGTCTGTGAACTTTGCCTTGGAATAGGAACATGTTTCCCTTCCTGTTGAGTGTGTGCCATTTGTAAATTGAGTCCCCCGCTGCTATGGGAAAGCACGCCTTGGTTTCAGAACGCTTTGGTTTAAGAACAGACTTCCAGAACGGATTAAGTTCGTAAACCAAGGTACCACTGTATATAAGAAATAAAATAAGCCAAAAACCTACCATTAAATATCATCCAGCACCTAGCACAGTGTATTACAGCTGTTACAACAGGCAGAAAAAGAAATCATTAAGTCATTTGTCAAGATGTTCAGCAGTTTTCAAGTGGTCCATGGGAATAAAGTCTGGGAACCTCTGGGCTAGCCTAGTTCTAACTTAGACACTGCATTTTTGTCTGTACTGTACCACTTGAGAATGGACATGATGGAGAAAACCCATAAACAAGCAAAACTAGCAAATCAAGGAGAAGGCTAGGATAGAACCTCTCACCCTGACAGGCTAGTTTTCTAAGTGCAGGGATATTTCCCCCATTCAGTAAGAGCCTCCACCTGCAGTCTCAAGTAGTGCAGCCCAGACACAGGATGGCCATCTCATCAGTAACCAGAGCATTCTACAATGGTTCCAGAAACATCCTTACTGCTTTTAACCTTGAACAGTCCTTCAAAGCTGATAACTTGTCAGGGTTAGATCATACACTTGCAACTTCAACAACTCATCTGGGACCAGCTGATGTTTGACTTTTCCACTCCCAGTCCTGTTTTCCATTAGAAGCCATTCCATCTTGTCATCAAATATTTGTGCAGTTTTATGAGGAATTATTGCCTGAATTTGCTTGTTTTCCTGCTCCTTCCCCAACTCTTTTCCCTTCTGAATTGTGCCTGTTAGATTGGAAGTCTTCAGGCAGGAACTTAGTTGATATTGCTATTGTTTATCATTGTACAGTGCCTGTAAAACTTTGCTATGAAGTTTCCATCTTACACTCAGCATTGTGTCAATAAAAACCTTGTGTCGCATAAACCCATCAGTGATCTTCATTCCAAGGAAACTCATCCTGAGCTGGAACTGCTGCAACATCTTCCTCCTTAAAGACCAGAGTGCATCCTTCGGTATTCCAAAACTTTAGCAGATGTTCTGAAGAACTTGCACTTGGGAACTGACAGTTTTAATCCTGCTCCACTAAACATGGAAGAACCTTCATACATCTTGCTTAAGGATCATCAGCGGTTTCTGAAAATATTAAGTAATCCAAGAATCCTATGACTTCAGTGATACTGATGTCATTCTTAACATGTTCCACCATTGTTTGGAAGACTGCCAGAGCATTTGTCAATCCCTGTGGCATCATCATAGGAAACTGCCAAATACCCACCATAGTAATAGATGATGTTTTGAGTCTTTCTTCTTTTCCTACTGCAATCATGACATTCACTCTTCAAGTCAAGTTCAGGCTCCTTCTATGCCTGGTAAAAGATAAGTATTCTTCATGCCTAAACTGTTCAGAAGCCTTTAGTCCATCACGATTATCAACGAATTTGTCTTCTTCCTGATGAGAACAATGGGAGATGCATAAAGACCAAGTGGACACCTCTTTGAGGCCATGATCAGAATCCTCAAAATCAACTGGGGAAACTGTTGCGCCAGAAGCAGCTTAGTCATGCTGGTCACTTGACCTGGAAGCTGTCTGCGGACAAACATTGGCTCCCTCTGCCTGAAAGCAAGATGAGTGCCACAACTCCATAATCACCTTTAACTGGACTTAACCGTCCAGGGGTCCTTTACCTTTTACCTTTACCTACCTTTTGTGTACAAATAAATGTGGTTGATTCATTACCTTGTTATTATAGACCTCTGGTAAGGGAACCTAAATATGCAGGAACAGGAGAGTAAAAGCAAGTTAAGAAACCCCAGGTCAGTCCAAGGCGCAAAGGACACAATTCTCATGAACATGGTGAGCAATGTGTTGGCGTGCCAGGCAGTGTCTCCTTGTTATTCAGGTGAACAGCAGTTGTGAGCTGGTACATTGGCCAGTTCCTCTCTCCTTCAGCATCAGCATGACATCACAATGGCCTGTGTCTCTCCTTCTGGTTGGACACATCCGTGTGAGAACACAGTGGCCAGTCTGTGAAATAGGAAGCATCAGCATGAGATCACAGTGGCCAGTTTTTCTCCCTCAGGTGGCTAGCATGGGCCACAGTGGGCAGCCCCTGTCCTTCAGGCAGGGAGCATCATCTTGTGGGGAGAGGCATTCATATGTCTTCATTCCTCTTCCACTCAGCAGGCAGTAGAATGTGGGCAGAATATTTATTTTTCTTGCGGAAGCTGCCAAAAGCAGGTACATGTCAGCACAATATCTTTCTCAGTGAGGTGGGCTTAGTTGGGAGCAGATGGTGGGCCCTGTATGTTCTTCTCTTAGTGAGGTGGCCAGCAGAAGTATGAGTGTAGTGGTCATCTCACCAAAATGGGCAGCAGCATGCGGACAGAGAAGCAGCAGGCAAGGCAAAGAGCAGGCAAGAAGGCAATTCATCTATTACAGGGCCTGGATGCAGGTGGCACTGTGGTCTAAACCCCCAAGCCTCTCGTGCTTGCTGATCATGAGGTCAGCAGTTCAAGTCCACGTGAAGGAGTGAGCTCCCATTGCTCTGTCCCAGCTCCTGCCAACAGAGCAGTTCGAAAGCACACCAGTGCAAGTAGATAAATAGGTACCATAACCGACATTTCCATGCACTTTGGTTTCTGTCACGGTGTTCCATTGCTCCAGAAGTGGTTTAGTCACACTGGCCACGTGACCCACAAAGCTGTTTGTGGACAAATGCCGGCTCCCTCGGCTTGAAAGTGAGATGAGTGCCGCAACCCTATAGTCGCCTTTGACTGGACTTAACCGTCCAGGGGTCCTTTACCTTTTTTTTTTTAACCTGTGGGATGGTAATTTAATAGCAAATTATTCTTCCCATGCTACTTCTCTCTAGGCAGGCTATGAGATAAACACTTCACAGGTCCCCCGTACCCCAGTGCTCACCTGTGCCCACAATAACTTTTACAACATTTGAAACAACGCAGTATTCAAAGCTCATGATATAACATTCCCATAACTTTTACATCAAACCCAAGTGGGTTGAATGTATTTGATATTTGCATTAACAGAGAGTAATGGCTAGATCATAAACGCTTCTCCATTATTTTAGCCTTTCAAAATTCTTGGGAGAAAGATGCAATCACAACAAAATCTGCGGAAGCCTCGTGCCACGTGGTTCGGTTTCACAAATGCAAACTCTTTCTTACTGCAACAGCTACAAATAAATTAAGATTTCAATCCTATACACAGTTATTTGGGAATGAACCCCATTGAAAACAAAGGAACTTTTTCTGAGTAGACATGTTGCACTGCAAATATCTCAGGGCAGAGAAAGCCGGAGGGCAAAGAAAACAATGCTGTTTGAAACTCCCCAACTGTTTAATTTATTTGTCCCTGTTTCTCCTGTAACTTATCTGCAAAAAAATATTACAAAACTGGTATTCTTTCCCCAGAATCAATAACATGAATTGTGCCAAGTGGTGTAGTAGTTCACATAGAAAGACTTTGAAAGGAATTAGGTCGATTTAGGAAATATACTTCCAGCTTCCAATTCCTGCAACTGCTAGCAGCTGGGAAAGAGGAAGGCTAATATTATAGCGCCACAACACTGGAAGGCTATAATTTCTATTCCGTTTGAATTTAAGATTGAAAAAGCATTTCCCTCGCTTAGTAAATTCCACGAATCCTTGCCATCTCAGTTTCCATTTTAACATAAAAATAGAAACCGTCTGCTGGTCTTGTTTCCAAGTTATTCTGAGGCAAAGTTAGAGGGTTGTTTGGTAAACCTTTAGCACTACACTTTAACAGACTTGACCTTAGATCAAGTAGGGCTCCATCCATTGCATGTTTTAAACTATTCCACGAGTGTCTTCCCATTATATTATATCTGTATCATCATCTGCTTTTGTCAAAAGACATAGAGCCTTGCATTTAGAATCTAACAGGTTAGCTCTTCAATCCGCAAAATCTCTAGCTCCAAGTTGTGGAGGGCTTTGCTTGTGAGAACCACACATTCCTGTCGTTCTAGTGAAAAGCTAGTTTTTAATTTTTATGGTAAACTCATTTTTCAACAACCAGAAACTTAATTCATCCAGAAGGGATTTGGGTATTTTATACTTTAATTTTTTTAATTTATTATTATTATTATTAAATGTTACCAAAAAAAATGAATAGAAAAAAAGAAATAGAAACAATACATAACCATACATAAAAACATTTTATCTACACAATTTTCCAGAATGCAGACTAGAAAAGAAGAAAGGCAAAAGATAAAAGAAAGAAACAAGAAAAAAATGAAAAGAAAAAATACTTTTCATAATCAATTATTCCAAATTCATACTTCAAACATAACAATATTTAAATCCTAGTTAAAATATTATAAAAGACTTCCACCGCATTCACCACACGTCTCTTGGTTATCTAATTCACCTTTACATCTGTTCTTCAGTCACTTCCGTTCCTTAAATTCTTTCATAGTCCATCTAATCTTTGTATTCTCTGTATTCTTCACAAGGTTAGTCTAAGCACAACCAAACTTTCGTGTTTGATACAGGGGTATTTTATACTTTAAATTTAAACTGTTAATGTTAATGGGGTCAGATTAATACAGTGAAAACTTTCATGCTGTGATACATTTGTTAGCAAACTCTTTTTCCCTTTTTGCAATTGGCAATTTTGTAATTGTTGTTGTTGTTTAGTCGTTTAGTTGTGTCCGACTCTTTGTAACCCCATGGACCAGAGCACGCCAGGACCTTCCAAATATCTCCTGTCCAAGCTCACCATTTTTGTGCCTTTTAAATACCTATTTGCTGCCTCTTGGCATCAGTGACATCAGAATACTTTTTTTTAAAAAAACCACACACTGCCATCTTCTTTTTGTTAATATATGATCCCAGCCAATCACAGATCACGTAGGCAGCACGACAGTATCACAAAACCAAATGGATTTGGCTCCATGACGATAAAATGAAGCCATGTAGCCAATCCAATCTGGCTCCATCATGACATCACAAAGAAAATTCAAAGTGAGGTCATGAAGCCATTTGCTCATTCTGAATGGCAAAACAGTTTTCAGTGGTTTGCAGCTCCCTGCAAATGTGGTGCTTTTCACAGTGGGAGCAAGTATTTGTCAAAGGTGTTCCCCTTCCATTCTGACTCTGCTCTACCTCTATGACCTAAAATGAGAAGCCACCTCCCAGGACATCCACAGGCTCATGTGGCCCGTGGGATAATCTAACAACATTAGATTTGGTAGAATGCAATGTAAAACATCAGATCACAAATGAAAGCGGTTTGTGGGCAATTTGGTAGGTGGAAGGGGGTCAGTGATAGCATATACTGAACTGACTCTCCTAAAACAATTTTTACTCCCTGCAGACCACCAGATGAGTGGTGATTTGAAAACCTGGGGTAATCCATCCTAAAGGGGCATTTCCGGCCCTTGAGCTGAATGGGAAAAAGCAGAAGATCACCCACTTTAGCTCCATTGACTTAGATGGCTTTGGGTAGGGCGAGGAGCCTGAAGCCATCTTGGTGTTGTTGTCTCATACAGTATATACTGGTGATTTGTTTAAATACAGTCATACCTCAGGTTACAGACGCTTCAGGTTCTGTTTTTTCAGGTTATGGACTGCCGAAACCCGGAAGTACCGGAACGGGTTACTTCCAGGTTTCGGCGGTTGTGCATGCGCAGAAGCACTAAATCACACTTTGCGCATGCACAGAAGCACCAAATCGCAACCCGCGTTTGCGCAGACGCGGGTTGCGAACGCTGCACGTTGCGGACATGCATCCCGCACAGATCACATTCGCAACCCAAGCGTCCGCTGTACATGGTTCAGACACTTCTGCCTGGCCAGCTGTGTCACCAAAATCATGAGCTCTCAACTTAGTTCAGCCTTTGGACTCAGCTGTGTTATCCAGTGGGTTCTCTGAGACCCAAACTAAGCATCACATAGAGTGGTGACACTTCTCTGGGATACAGCAGATTATTATTTTTTAAAGCACATAGCTTATTCTCATACATGGATGTCAATTTTTAATGCCTTCCATTACAGAGGAGGAAGAAGGTTCTTGGATTCTTCAGGAGGTTCATTAAAATGAAACTGGAGCATAAGTTTCCTATTTGTACAGGTGGCTCCTTTCGGAGCTGGTTAGTTCGACAGACTTTGGGGGCTTCTTTTTTCCTTTTGCTCCCACAACACTGCATCTAAGATGAAGAGAGAGAATGAAAAGGCTCTTTGCAGCACACCTTGACTCGTGAAATAAGTACAGGTGATCCTCTCTATCTTTGGTTAATACATATTTTTTTTTATTCTGGCAGGTAGTTGCCTGCCAAGAATCTGGCGTTTTATGCTTTCTTCTCAATGTACTTGTCACTGATGCATTTCTACGGTAAAGGTAAAGGGATCCCTGACCATTAGGTCCAGTCGTGGCCGACTCTGGGGTTGCGGTGCTCATCTCGCTTTATTGGCCGAGGGAGCCGGTGTACAGCTTCCGGGTCATGTGGCCAGCATGACTAAGCTGCTTCTGGTGAACCAGAGCAGCGCACAGAAACGCTGTTTACCTTCCCGCTGGAGCGGTACCTATTTATCTACTTGCACTTTGACGTGCTTTTGAACTGCTAAGTTGGCAGGAGCTGGGACCCAGCAATGGGAGCTCACCCCGTCGTGGGGATTTGAACCACCGACCTTCTGATCGGCAAGTTCTAGGCTCTGTGGTTTAACCCACAGCGCCACCCACATCCCTGTATTTTAGAGTACTGTGACTTAATTTGGCCAACTTTCTGGAGGCAGCATGGCAGTAATGGGTGGGCCCAACCCAAGCACACTCTTGGATGTGTGAACAGAATTTGTACAACATCTGGAGTTCTCTACGTCCCATAGTTTAATGCTTCATCTATTGTGCTTATTAAGCCGAATAATGTGCAATTGCTATAGTGCTAAAACAACAATACTTCTGTTAATTTGGAAGATTTATGCCCTGCTTTTCAACCCTATTATCGTAACAGCTTACAAGCAACAAATAATGCAAAAAACCACAACCCTGAACTCTCCTCCCCCACCCCGCAGCCCCATGTCCTCTGACTGACTGATAGGGCCAGAGTAAATCTCTCTTTAACTCTGCAGTCCCAGGGCAACTGGAAGTTGGAACAGACTCTTCTTCCTGGCAGGGAGAGTGGAATCCAACCTCCTTCAGTTGCTCCTTCACTGGCCAATGGATGGGGCCAAGTTCTTGCCATGATCTTCCTTAGAGGAGTGAGGTACAGTCACCCTTGGCCAGTAAGTTAAAGGGACCCCTGACCATTAGGTCCAGTTGTGACCGACTCTGAGGTTGCGGCGCTCATCTCGCTTTATTGGCCGAGGGAGCCGGCGTACAGCTTCCAGGTCATGTGGCCAGCATGACTAAGGCGCTTCTGGCGAACCAGAGCAGCGCACGGAAACGCCGTTTACCTTCCCGCCAGAGCGGTACCTATTTATCTACTTGCACTTTGACGTGCTTTCGAACTGCTAGGTTGGCAGGAGCAGGGACCGAGCAACGGGAGCTCACCCCGTTGCAGGGATTCGAACCACTGACCTTCTGATCGGCAAGTCCTAGGCTCTGTGGTTTAACCCACAGCACCCCCCCATGTCCCTACCCTTGGCCAGTAGCAGAGGCCAAAGTACACTATTAAACATCTTAGCATGTACAGATAGAGGATAGCATTCAGCTTTATTTAACCCCTCTCACTTCAACATGAAAGAAAGCCATACTGAGAGGAAGACTCTGCTTTGTCGAAACCTCTGGCCACTTTAAATTGGCAACATTTCTCCAAGAATCCCAGGTATCAGAGAGCCAATTCACCAACAGAGGGAGAGTTTCAACTTTCCAGAATCTGGAGATCACCTGCTTGACTCCTGGAAAGGTAAGCAGTTTGGAGGGGCTGTTTATGTGCCTGGTATGCATGACCAAGCACTAGTTGAGAACAACTAGTATTTTTTCTAATATCTTTAATTAACTTTAGGTCTGCTTCCCAGAAGGATTGTTGAGCAGAGACTGCATAATTTCCAATAACAAGTCCTACCTAACCTATATTAGTTGTTAATAGCTTTCATGCCCCAGAAGTTTACAGGAGCACAGCAATTGCGAAAGCAGTTGTTGAAGTCTGCTAGCTCCTTCCTGTTCTTGTAATATCATAAAGGACACCTCGGGTTTTCCTTTCACTTGCAACCTCTGAAGATTACATTTCTTGACGAATCACCATCCAAATTAGTCGTCCAGACACGGAAGCACAGCGGTTCAAGCAACACCCAAGAAATCTGTGGTAGGGCTTCACATACTGTGTGACTATTGCTATAATTATGACCACTCTGGGTAGGTGTTCAGTGATTCTAAATGATTAACTAACCATATGCTTTCTATTTATAAAAAAAGTGTCAACACTTTTTTTTTTAGTCAGCTCGTCTGAGCTAAATGAAGTGATGAAAAGTCAAACCCTGATCACCTGAAATGGCACGCCAAGTCCTGCGCATGATTTGGACAAAATCAATAGTAAAAGTAGCGGATCTGTCGGAAATACCAAGATTATTATTTTTTAAACCCAAATAAACAAAAGAGATCAAATTTTCAGCACAATATTGTTTCAGTAATAACCCTCGTCTGGTTATTAATTCACTTAAATCCAACTATGAATATGAATGGTGGTTTTTGCCAGACACCATCTTCCGGTTATCATCACCCAACACACCACATCTTTAATGAGGTGGAATTGGTGTTTGTTCAGACTGCCAGGAGAGCGCAGCTCTTCCAGCTGACCCAATCTGCTTCATCTCACCGGACTGCTCAAAAAGCAAAGAAGCACACATATTTTTGGTAAATGAAGTACAACGGCATACTTGATCTCTTAACACTACAGTGTTAGAGTAATCCATATAAATGCTGAGCAAGATTTTACTGGCACTTTCCCACATGACCTTTGGGACATCCTTATAGAGTAGAAAGCTAAATGAGAAACACACACACACACACAAAATCAGTCAGCATATGTTAGGAATCGGGTCCTATGCTGGTCTCTTCAGCTACTGAAACAGTTTTCATGCATGTTGGCATAACGTGGGTTGCCAGTACCCACACAGAGGGGTGGGTGAGAGAGAGGGAGGGAAACGGATGGAGTACACCTTCAACTGCCTAATGGCGTCTGCGTCACCCAGGAGATTGCAGCCACAGAGATAGGAAAAGAAGAGGCATTCCATTGTCTGGAGAGGTCACTTCCTGGTTTGCATGGAGAAGCTGTTTTCAATGGAGCCCGGCAATGGAAGTACTGTACTGTACTGTACTGTACTCAGCTGTACTGAGGCAGCACCAGAAATTTTGTCCCCCTAATGATTTTGCACCCTGTGCCCCCCATGCTACGCCACTATTCATGCAGTCTTCTTTGAGCTGGCCCCTTTCCCAGGACTGGACCAAGGCTGATATGCTGGAGACACATGCTCCGCAGGGTAACTTATGCCCTAGTCAGAAAACAACCTCTTGCTGGGAAAAACTTCATACCCTCCTACATACAACTATACATGCTAGAAGACAGCTTGACATAGAGAGCAGTGAGGGAAGATGTGGCCCTCCGCTTCTTGCTATCTGGCCCTTGGGACTACTCTCACTTGGACCAGCTTTGCAGGTGAAATATTTTTGCCTGGCTGAGATGTTGCACTCTGATGTTGGCTCCTGGGTATCTAGATGGAGGATAGAATCACAGAATTGTAGAGCCACAGGAGTCATCTGGTTCAACTTCCTGCAATGCAGGAAACTTCTGCCCCACATGGGACTTCAACCTATAATCCTGAGATTAAGAGTCTCATGCTCTACCAACTGAGCTACCAATATTGTGTGTGTGTGTGTGCTACAAGAAACTGGCCTATTGTACAAAGATAAAATCTTTGCTTCATTCAGAATAAGGCTCACCCCTCAGGCTGAAAAGGGTTCCTCACCACTGATGTAAATCTTATCACAGGCAGGGGGATTTCCCACTCCTCACTTGTCTGTGTTTCACTCACCACTAGTATAGCTCAGTCACTTAAATATTCTGGGCCACAGTCAACTAAATATTTGTGCTAGTGGAAGCCCCTACACCTATTCCCCTGGCCGGTTAAGTCCAGTCAAAGGTGACTATGGGGTTGTGGTGCTCATCTTGCTTTCAGGCCGAAGGAGCCCGCGTTTGTCTGCAGACAGCTTTCCAGGTCATGTGGCCAGCAGGACCACTTCTGGCACAACGGGACACCGTGACAGAAGCCAAAGTGCACAGAAACGCCGTTTACCTTCCCACCACAGTGGTACCTATTTATCTACTTACACTGGTGTGCTTTCGAACTGCTCGGTTGGCAGGAGCTGGGGCAGAGCAACAGGAGCTCACCCCGTCACAGGGATTTGAATCACCAACCTTCTGATTGGCAAGCCCAAGAGGCTCAGTGGTTTAGGCCACAGCGCCACCCACATCCCATAGTCGCCTTTGACGGGACTTAACCATCCAGAGGTCCTTTACCTTTTTACCTACACTGAATAACACCCCACAAACATCAAATGAATATGCATAAGTTGGGGCTGGGGTGGTGTCTGCCACCTGTCCACAAACCTGTCTGTTTGCTCCCCCCCCAAAAAATAATATTATACAGGGCTCTAGCTGTGATAGCATTCCGTCACACTCCAGCATGAAATAGAGCCCATGTGGAATAGTGGTTGGAGTCTTAGACTAGGACCTGGGAAAAGGGTCAAGTCAAGTCCTCACTCAGCACACTGGGTGATCTTGGGCCAGGCAGACACTCCCAGCCTAAGCTACTTCACATGGTTATAGTGGTGATGAAATGGGGAGTTGGAGAACCAGGCATAGCATAATGAGCTCCTTGGAATAAAAGGTGAGGTATAAATGTCATGAATGAATGAATGAATGAATGAATGTTGCCCCAGCTATGTAAAGTAACATTTAAAGGTCCTCTTAAAAGGTAAAGGGACCCCTGACCATTAGGTCCAGTCGTGACCGACTCTGGGGTTGTGGCGCTCATCTCGCTTTATTGGCCGAGGGAGCCGGCGTACAGCTTCCAGGTCATGGCGAACCAGAGCAGCGCACGGAAACGCTGTTTACCTTCCTGCCAGAGCAGTACCTATTTATCTACTTGCACTTTGACGTGCTTTCAAACTGCTAGGTTAGCAGGAGCAGGGATCGAGCAACGGGAGCTCACCCCATCGTGGGGATTCGAACCGCTGACCTTCTGATCGGCAAGCCCTAGGCTCTGTGGTTTATCCCACAGCACCACCCACAGAGGTTAAATCCTACACTTCATTCATCAGCACCTACCAGAAGACCTAAAATGTAACAATGGGTGGTTGGCTTTTCATCCCCCGAGACTTCTCTATTCAAAGTGCCATCTTGTCCCCAGTTGTGTTTAATGAATATACGAAGCTGTTCGGCAACATCCAGAGGTAGAGCCTTAGGTGTCATACCATATGCTAAATAACCCATAGCTGTTACTCACATTCTCATTCTCCCTTGCCCCTGGGTTCTATAATCTGGTTTCTTATCCATTGTTTGATCATGCCATGAAACTGGATGTAGGCGAGTCAAAAGAGAGGGAGAGAGAATCTCAGTCAAGACTGAAGCATTAATGGTCAGATAGACTCATCATTTGGAGTTGCATAATAGGTAGTGTTCACCTTCCCTCAGACTGGTGGTTGTTGAGTGCTCCTAATTATACATGGAAACACAGGTTATGGAGATGAGCAAGGAGCCATTTTCATCAGACGAACCTGGTGAGATTTGTCCAATTCAGATCGAGCAATGGCAATTAATGGCTTTGCAATCTTGAGGTTAGATTACGGATGATGAATTTTAGGCAAGACTGGCCTTGCTTTCTTGGTGCATAATGACCTCCTCCCGAGAAGAGAACACACTGCATCCATGTTCCAGCTCCTGCACAGGCTCACTATTACCTTTTCTGCAAAATTCAAGGTGCTGGTTCTGAACTATTAAGCTCTAACTGGCTTGGATCCCACACACTTTAAGATTCACCCTCTCAGTGAACTTCAAGGCTCAATGAGGATTACCCCACACCCTTCTGAGTGGTAGCCCCCAGTCACACACACCCTTTATGATGTTGTAGCATGACATTTGCCAGTCACCATTCGCAGGGTGAAGTAGGACTGTTTTTCGATAACCTCACAACTGGCAAATTGAAGGTCAGCGGTTTGAATCCCCACGACGGGGTGAGCTCCCGTTGCTCAGTCCCTGCTCCTGCCAACCTAGCAGTTTGAAAGCATGTCAAAGTGCAAGTAGATAAATAGGTACCGCTCCGGCGGGAAGGTAAACGGCATTTCCGTGCGCTGCTCTGGTTCGCCAGAGCGGCTTAGTCATGCTGGCCACATGACCCGGAAGCTGTATGCCGGCTCCCTCGGCCAATAAAGCGAGATGAGCGCCGCAACCCCAGAGTCGGCCACAACTGGACCTAATGGTCAGGGGTCCCTTTACCTTTACCCCACACTATGAAAGTTGTGGGGAAGAATCAATTCATTCAGTGTGATAATATTTGGTGTAACACAGTTAGAGTTGCCAGGCGCAGGGAGACATGCTAACCCAGGGAACCTCCTGAGGCATCTCTTTGGTAAGGGGACCTTATCCCAATGACATCTCACACCCTACTGACAAAAGGGGCTACTTGCTCTTGAACCCTGTCCATTTCATTACACCTGTGGCTGGCAAGTCCAGATGACATGGGGTGATCAGGTGTCTCCTCAGCAATGCCTTCAAGGGGTGCTGGCAAAGACCAACACAGATCAGTTAGCAGATTTTCTGGCACTTGGAGACGGAGTGGAATGGTCCATGTCAGATAAATAGTGAAACGGGTATTCTTCAGATCAGGTACCTATGCTGAAGGGTTGGTAGCTTTCCAACATATTTATCCCCTTTGCTGCTTTTTGCTAAGTTAAGAAAGCTGGTGTCCATGCCTCATACTATCATCATGACTATTATTGGGGGTTAGGGGGAACAATGACAAACATAGACAGCATCTTTAAAAGTAGAGACATCACCTTGCCAACAAAGGTCCATATAGAAAAGCTATGGTTTTCCCAGTAGTGATGTATGGAAGTGAAAGCTGGACCATAAAGAAGGCTGATTGCCGAAGAATGGATGCTTTTGAATTATGGTGCTGGAGGAGACTCTTGAGAGTCCCATGGACTGCAAGAAGATCAAACCTATCCATTCTTAAGAAAATCAGCCCTGAGTGCTCACTGGAAGGACAGATCCTGAAGCTGAGGCTCCAGTACTTTGGCCACCTCATGAGAAGAGAAGATTCCCTGGAAAAGACCCTGATGTTGGGAAGAATGGAGGGCACAAGGAGAAGGGGATGACAGAGGACGAGATGGTTGGGCAGTGTTCTCGAAGCTACCAGCATGAGTTTGACCAAATTGCGGGAGGCAGTGGAAGACAGAAGTGCCTGGTGTGCTCTGGTCCATGGGGTCACAAAGAGTCGGAAACGACTAAACAACAACAGGCGGAACAATGTGTGTTTGCACAATTTTATGGGTACCTCACTAGCATCAGTTAATCCAACAGATCAAATTAGCAGGAAATGCAATATAAAGGCCATTCGACTGCATTTCCCCATTTAATTGCTTCTGAAGTATTTGGGAGGCAGGAATTGGGCGCTTGTAAATATTCATCCAAGGCTGGCAAGAAACAATTCTGTATGCTCTGCATTATTGCACTAATCCTCTTTAATTTTTCTTAAAAATAGAAAGCCTGTACACCACGTAAGTAGGCAGCCTGCAAGCCATTTTATTTTCTTTAGAGTAGAACTTGTGTTGCAAATGGCAGGAAGCCATGAGCCACAAAAATAAAACCATTCTAACCCTAGTGCTAAGTAAGGAAAACAAAGATGTCTCAGCAATTAGCAATATTATATATGTTAGTACTAAGTAACAACAGATGTTTCAACCAGAGCCCAGTACATTCCTCGCAATCCTTCAGAAACCAAAAGCCTCTTGCCGTTGCTATACATTACAATTATCTTGGGCTTTCAGTCCTTGCAAATGCATTCTGAGTGGCGAATGCTAAAGTTTGTTAGTATCGGGTGGCTCTTACCTGTAGCTACATCAGCAAGCTGCATACTTCTGCTGACTTAACAGACTAGCAACAAGTGTGCTCTGTAAAGACATGCGCAGGCTATGAGTCATTAGCAAGCATGCAAAGCTAATTGGCAAAACACTCATAAAAGATTCTGAAGGTGGGTTAATTACAATTCATTACGTAAACTGTCCCTGGGCTACTGTTAAAAAAACATGCATTAACTTTCAAGGTCCAGTATTTTATGATTCACTTTGCCATGTTGTGAGAAAGTCTTTGTATCAAACTACATTCATTACAATTCAGGCCACAAAAGCCTTTACGGGGTTTCTTGACATTATTTCCATCCTTGTTATATCGGAATTCATATGGGCTGCACATTGCTAACAACTGGCAAAATGTCAAAAAACATTTATGGTATTTTCTTACCATATACACAGGCCGGCTTTAAAAGCTACAAAATTTAATTGCTTCCCCTTTCCCATTTGTTCCTTTTAGCAAATAAAAAGTTGAGGGTGCAGATACGATGGCAGGCATGCAGCAGGCAAGATGACTGCATTTTTGATTGCCCAATTGATCTTCATGGACTTTGCCTATCTGACATGCAGACATTCACTATGAGTCCGTCATCGGGAGAAATACCGGATGGCTATGCAATAGAATAAATGCTCAGTGCATCATTGCGAGAAACATACCCGATTGCCAAAACTGGCAAAGCAAATTATGTTGGTGCAGCAGGCTGGTACGTACACTCAAATTGTTCATAT